TTCGTGCTTATTTCGTGCTCATTTCGAAATGAAGGGCTGAGGGGCCTTCAGAACCTATCGGGGTAAAGGAGCGTGTTGACTGGTTGTTGAGTAGACCTCTACCCGAAGGAGCGATGATAACGGCACTAAGAGGGCGTTTGATGAGTGGCTGGGACCATACGCGTCTGACTGTCTTGCCAGAGGAGTACCCATCAGATGGGAAGCAACCGGGAGTGCAAATGGCGAAGTATAAGCACTGGATGGGGCTGCCCTTTTTGGGAGCTGCAGCCGTCATGTGGCCAACACATGCTAAGGTTTTTGGCGGGGCCCCAGCGTGAAGCGCCCAGGGTGGCCCCGACCTGTAGGATTGCCCATGTCCGTGTGTGTGTGCGTGTGTGCATGTGTAACGGACCAAACATATTATCTCGCCCGGCTGAAACGCGTTATAGGTACTATATAGCATTCTCTATCGCAAGGTATCTCGCCTGTAGCCAACAAAAATCGTATGAGCACAAATGAGCACAAACAACTTTGCCTGCCTCGATTGACCGAGCTCAAAGTCACATCAACGCCTCTCGGGCTAAATTTCATCTCAAAAGGTGCCGCGTATCTCATAATTGAGTTCTGAGATGACAGCGTATGATAACTTGAACACTCAGCTTGTGTTACCATTTGCCCGCACGGGCATTCCGACTTGCCACCAGCAGGCCGACAAATTTGCTTTCATTTCTCTATGAAATACGCAAGCTGCTCGTTTGTACATTTACTTTAGCCAATGCTCGGGGCCTCCTGCGATGAAGCTCGCGGCTGTGGGGCGGATTGCTGAGGCCGCTGGCGCTTCGGGGATAAACATCACAGACAGCACCAAACTTCACCCAAATTGCGTTACCATTTGTCCGCAGGGGCATTCCGACTTGCGGTCTGCCGCACTGTCCATGCGGCATGCACCCGGGATGGATGCGATTCGCGTGGAGCCCGCAGGCGGTGCTGACGATTCCGCCGGTGCAAGCTTAGCTCCCACACCATCAGCGCTGCTGCAACAAGCACATCTCCCACCGCGTTGACACTACCCATCAATTGTCACACGTGCCGCGCTAGCTACCGGCCTGTACGGATGCAGGGGGCCCCCGCCCTTTTTCCGGCTTCGAGGAAGCCGACACCCGACTTGTCTAATATTCAGTAACACCGCACCAAGGCACCGAACGCAGCGCCTCGTTTTACGACGTTCCTTCCGGATTGCGCAAAGAGTAATTGTATCTCAGTCCGAGCATGCTCGTCCATTTCATCCACGATCTAGGTTCTTGCCCACCTTTTAGGTGGGCAAGCCAACTGCGACTGCCGGACAGAAGTCACACATTTACATAATGTTAAATGAACGGGCTACAGAGACTGCATAGCTAAAGAAAAGTTATTGCTTTAACTAGTTTAGCAAAGAGCTTTACGCGCAGGAACCTCCGACTTCGACCTGGCCGATTGAAACCTAACACCGATGATGATGACAGGACTTCTCGCTTTGTACCCATCTAAGGGGGTGTTTCCACTTGGATTAAAAGTCGCGGATTAAGGCTTAATCCGTCGCATATGGAAACATCGCGCGGATTAGGACGGATTAGGCGGATTAAGGTTGGCGCGATTTGTTAGAGATTTCCGTCCGTATTCACGCGCTTCGCGGATTAATTATAGATTAATATGCTATGAAATGCGAGCTTTCTGCCTATACTAAAAGCTCAAACTTGGTGCGAAAAATTTGCTACCTGGTGGCCACCAGGTATCAAATTGACAATCTCGGATTAACACTTTTCATGACGCCTCATAAAAAGCCTGAGTGATAGGTTGGAAGGTTATCCTTTATAAAGGCTGTAGGTGTTCCTAGTTTTGTGGAAGCTTTGTGCTTCTTGTTCGGCATTATGCACCACACCGTGGGTGTCGTTCAAAGGTGCTACAAGGCCTTCATGTTGATACTCGATAGTCTTTTAAATGTTTGGCAATACTCATTTTTGCATTTTATGCACGGAATGAGCAAGTGTCGTACTTCAATCCGTTTCTTAATCCAGACGTATGAAACACTCCGACGGATTAGCGGTGGATTGGCGCGGCTTAAAAATACCTTAATCCGCGACTTTTAATCCAAGTGGAAACACCCCCTAAAAGCCGAGCACTTCCATGACCATCAGCCCAGCGCCTATGATCTATCTGTTAGGTTTTCTTGTTAGTTGTTAAGTCGTTAACTATCGTCGTGGACAATCATTTGGGATATGGATAATGTACGACCTTCCGGCGCCGCCTAGGCTCTGGATGACTATTTAAGTCGTCGTGTTGTTTAGATTGTTATGTCATCATTATTACATCTTGTGGGTTGTTAGCAGGCTTAAGTCGCTCGGCCATCAGTGTAACTATCTTGACATCCCAACCAGAAACGGAGCCCATGCCCTTTCACTATTTGCAATGGATCGATCCTATACAATCCGTTTTGGGGCTCCTGGAGGCCCATAAAGCGCGGCCGGGGCATCATGCGCGCCCTTAAGGTCGGCCACGCAATGTCTTCCATGTGCTATATTCCACAACAATCCTATGCGTTTAGGTGCATTTGGATGAGTACAAAGCGAAAAAGTCCTGTCATCTGATGACAGTCACGGATGACCGGCCCTATTTTGGCCACAGGCCGCGTCATAGGACTTCAAAAATACGGCCCGCCTACAGGCCCCAATGCAATGCAATTTTACAGAGTTATTAACCTTCCAAAACCATGATAACAGATTTCCAAAAGACTACACCATCAACGAAATGACCTCCTGCTTGTAAATGGCAACAAAAGGCAAATAGGGCCGGTCATCCGTGAACAGCATGATTCATCATCGGCCAGGTCGAAGTCGGAGGTGCCCGCGCGTGAAGCTCTTTGCTAAAGCAGTAACTTTTCTTTAGCTATGCAGTCTCTGTAGCGCGTTCAATTGGCATTATGTAAATGTGTGACCTCTGTCCGGCAGTCGCAGTTTCCATCTACCAAAGTATGCCCGCTTTGCGCAAAATTTAAGCTATAACGATAAGCAATAATTAACTTAATTAGTGTTCCTGACCTCGCCGTAGTTCGTTAGCCAACCTCCACTCCGGGGCATACACACTCCGGGAGGGGGGATTGTCAATTTGTTACCCGGTGGCCACTAGGTAGCAAATGTTTCCCACCAAGTTCGAGCTTTTAGTATAGGAAGAATTCGCGCATTTCATAGCATGTTAATCTATAATTAATCCGCTAAGCGCGCGAATACGGGCGGAAATCTCTAGCTAATCGCGCCAACCTTAATCCGCCTAATCCGCCCTAATCCGCGCGATGATTTCATATGCGACAGATTAAGCCTTAATCTGCGGCTTTTAATCCAAGTGGAAACACCCCCTTAGAGCAGTGTCAAATGTTTCGGCTTTCATAGGTTCATGTAACTTTCAGCAACTCGTTGGCTCATGGGCCTCCCGAAACGAACAGAAATGAAATTAATCCTTCGAAATTAAAGGTGCATCATGCAGCTGGACATGTGATAGGTCGCTCCAGTCATGAGCAAAACCGCACTTATGATAAACTAGCTTCATTCAAAGAAATGATGGAGATTTTGCTTCTCTAATTTATTAGAAGCAAGCGGGTCGTTACAAAGGACTCAGATTGAAATCTGCTGTACTGTCTGGGAAGCCCCCCCAGACTTAAGGTCACCTATATAGGTGACCTTAAGTCTGGGAAGCCCTCCCAGACAGTATATATATACAAGATTTCGGTAGGAGTCATCTTGGCACGGCGGCACTTCGTTCTCCTTTTTTCCCATCTTTTGCAGCAAGCACTGCAATCGTGGTGCGCTCGTTCGGCACCTATTAAAAACAATATAGGTGACCTTAAGTCTGGGAAGCCCTCCCAGACAGTACAGCAGATTTCAATCTGAGTCCTTTGTAACGACCCGCTTGCTTCTAATAAATTAGAGAAGCAAAATCCCTATCATTTCTTTGAATGAAGCTAGTTTATCATAAGTGCGGTTTTGCTCATGACTGGAGCGACCTATCGCATGTCCAGCTGCATGATGCACCTTTAATTTCGAAGGATTAATTTCATTTCTGTTCGTTTCGGGAGGCCCATGAGCCAACGAGCTGCTGAAAGTTACATGAACCTATGAAAGCCGAAACATTTGACACTGCTCTAAGGGGGTGTTTCCACTTGGATTAAAAGCCGCAGATTAAGGCTTAATCTGTCGCATATGAAAACATCGCGCGGATTAGGGCGGATTAGGCGGATTAAGGTTGCGACGCACACGGAGTACGGGAGGAGAAGGATGCTGCTGCTGGGTACGGACGCGGATTATTCAGCGCCAAGTACTACTGGATAGCTTCTGTGAAAATGCAATTTAAAACCTGTAATGTGCTTGCGGAAGGCGCTCAATTTTGCCAGGGCCGGATAAACTCTTGAAGCTTCAATTCGCAGGTTTTTCCACACTACATACGGCGCGTAACCATCCAAAACAGGTACTTACCGCCTTCCGTACACCAGATGCAGGCCAAACTATATATAATCTTTCAGCACAAAAAGCACAATAATTATAATGTGTAGTAACTGCACGGTACCTGTGTGCCTTGCGTTATACAACAGTTTCCTGTACCCTTAAGGGTACAGCAGGGTATCCTGCCTGCAACGTTTCCCCCAATCTCCATCGCGTCGCAGTTTTTGAGCCCATTGAATATTTACGATTAAGGATCCATTAGAGCTACTGGTGCACTGCAAAGCGCACATCTCAGGGCAGGGGCCAGCTTCTGCGCGAAAGCGCGGCGACGAGCGACAGCTTGGACGACGCAGGAAGCCAGCGCGCAACAGCTGCTGCGTAGCTCACTTCTGGTAGGCAATCCGTTCATCTTTATCGTCCTTATTTCTCGCTCATGTTCGCAGATATCTAACGACAGACGTGCCGCCATTCAACTGCGTTCGTCGACGGTTCTCTTTCCTTTGCCATTCGCTTCCGTAACCAACATCTCGCAACAACTCCGACCCTCCTGTCATGTGGAATCTCTTTGTTGTCTCTCCATGGGTGCTTTTATTTACCTGGCTACTGCTATGCTGCTGGACCATGGACCGTGATGGTGTGTGCCTTGCTTCCTTGTTTATGCGCCACATAGAAGGCGAACGAGGCAGGACGGAGCGAGCGCGGTCCCAACATATCGACACGAGCAAAGAGCTGTCTGCTGCGTGGCTTCACCTCCAAGATCATACGGGCGGCGATCCTGGACTCACTGGTACGTCGTCCTTGCCGGATGGGTACGTAGGCCAGCAGGGTTGATCCAGCTTCCATCTCCAGATATGGAAGCCTACACAGCTTGCCACGCCATTATTCTGCGCTCCATTCGTCTCCATCGTTCATCTACACAGTGCTATTATTAGCCAGCCAGTGTAAGAGGGGACCAGCTCCCTTTCTACACCCAGTTCGAGCAGCCCGCCCTGTCTCTGGCAATCACACTACCAGTAACAATACCCTGAATCAGTCTGGCCCCTGACACTAAATAATAATAATAAACCTCATACCGCAGCTTTACATTCCTGCATCCAATACCGCACTGCATCAATAGGGGTTTGAAGTTGAGTCTCAGGCCATAGGGGTTGAGGCATCGTCGTGCCCCCGGCTGGATAAATTTAATCGGAGTTATGAAGATACCGCTTGCATGCTACAGCACATAATATCTCCCCACCCGTGCCTGGCCCTCTTCCGGATGCGGTGCAGCAAGTTCAGCTGGAATATCTACCGGAAACACGCACGCACGCACGCACGCACTAAATCGCGGCTGTGAAGGCCATCATCGCCTATCATGGTCACATGCCGCAGTGCTAATGGTGGTCGTGGTGGGCTTAATGTTAACTATCATGGATTGCCGCCGCCGCCGCCGCAGCAGCAGCAGCAGCAGCTGATCCACCGCCGCAACTGCCACAGCCCGCTGCTTCTGAGCTTTCCTCTAAACCTGCTACTGGTGCTGTTGCTCTTCGGCAGTAGTGCACAGATAGCTGCAGCTGACTCCCCTCCGCCTCCTCCCCCCATGCCGCCGTTGGCCACCTGCGGTCCGAACACAGTGCTCTACAGGAACGGTGAGGCAGTCAGCGCCATAAGGGCACCTGTCACTTCAGCTGATTCGGGACAGGAGATCAGCCCGGCATTCCTTTTGCAGGTTGTGGATGTGCCAGGAACCTCAGTAACTGTTGGTTATCACCACACCGGCACGCCAAATATTGTGGTACAATGGTGGTACACAGAGCCGGGCACATTTTACTACGGCATGCTTTCCGAAGCTGATTTCAATGCCGTATACAATGGCACCTCTGGCTGCAGGGAGCCAAGCAATTTAACAGCCTTGGTTAACGGTCGGCTCGTAGACTCTACTTATACAGCCTACCTTCCCATTTTTGAAGCTGCACCCCCCAGCTACTCCAGCTTGGTCCAACCCTGCGGCGCCCCGGTCACATTCTACTGGTTTACTAGTTTTCTCAGTTCCGGCTTACTCGGCGTAACTAACGTTTCCTGGGCGGCGGCTGACTGGGTGGCGGCTAATGACACCACCAACCCCATCTGCCCTGACTCCCCAACTGCTTGGGGGTACACCAAGTTCGCCATCTCGTACTGCCCCTGCCCGGCTCAGCCCCCGCCGCCAAGTCCGCCACCTCCGCCGCCAATGCCACCTTTACCGTCCTGTGGTGACTTTCTGTATGTCACCTACAACGGTGTCCCCGTCACTGGATACTCAGCACCCGTACGGTCCAGTGTAACGGGTCAGGTGGTTACCCCGGGGTATATTGATGCATCTAAGGGGTATCACGAGCTGATGGTGGATTGGCAACTAGAGACGTACGTCAAGTATTCATTTGGATCACTACCCGAGGCATATTTTTTGCAGCTTTACAATGGTAGCACAGGGTGCCAACCGCCTGATGAGTATTTGTCAGGCTCCGATAATTGGGAGATTACAACTCAGGGTATAACAAAACTCGATAGTGGGGTGCTCTTCGGACTTTTCTTTCGGATGGGATGGTTCGCCCAATGTCAACCCTTTACAATGTACGCGTTCATTCGTTTTGAGGACATAAGGCCCAGAGGGTTGCAAAAACGGTCTAATCCCCCAATCCCGGGGGGTGGTAGTGGTCAGCCATCCCCCCATCCTGGCTGGGGTGACCGACTCCCATCTCACATCTTAGGGGCCCGGTGCTAATCCCATCCCTTGAGACAGGTTTCCCATCCTGCCAGCCTGGGTCCCATCCCCAATCCTATGGCCAGGGTTTCCAATCCCATCCTGCAGCTGTGTTCCCCCAATCCTCATCCTGCCAGCCAGGGTCCCTTCCCAATCCCTTCGACCAGGGCCATCCCCATCCTGCAGCTGTGTTCAGATCCGAAAGCTGTCAGCCAGGGTCCCATCCCCATCCCTTGCCAGCTACAAACCTACTCCTTTCGTTTACACAGGTGCTGTAATATCGGCTTTCTCTTTAGGCGTAAATCA